TACTTGGCTAAATACCATAGTTATACCTCTCCAAATAGCCTCCTTCTTTTACTTGGCTAAATAACATAGTTATATCACTCCAAATAGCCGCCTTCTTTTACTTGGGTAAATACCATAGTTATACCTCTCCAAATAGCCGCCTTCTTTTACTTGGCTAAATAACATAGTTATATCACTCCAAATAGCCGCCTTCTTTTACTTGGCTAAATACCATAGTTATACCTCTCCAAATAGCCTCCTTCTTTTACTTGGCTAAATAACATAGTTATACCACTCCAAATAGCTGCCTTCTTTTACTTGGCTTAATAACATAGTTATACTGCTCCACATAGCCGCCTTCTTTTACTTGGCTTAATAACATAGTTATACTGCTCCACATAGCCGCCTTCTTTTACTTGGTTAAATACCATAGTTACACCACTCCAAATAGGTGACATCTTTAAATTGGCTAAATACCATAGTTACACCACTCCAAATAGCCTCCTGCTTTAACTTGGCTAAATACCATAGTTATACCACTCCAAATAGCCGCCTTCTTTTACTTGGCTAAATAACATAGTTATATCACTCCAAATAGCCACCTTCTTTTACTTGGGTAAATACCATAGTTATACCTCTCCAAATAGCCGCCTTCTTTTACTTGGCTAAATAACATAGTTATATCACTCCAAATAGCCGCCTTCTTTTACTTGGCTAAATACCATAGTCCTTCTTTTACTTGGGTAAATACCATAGTTATACCTCTCCAAATAGCCGCCTTCTTTTACTTGGCTAAATAACATAGTTATATCACTCCAAATAGCCGCCTTCTTTTACTTGGCTAAATACCATAGTTATACCTCTCCAAATAGCCTCCTTCTTTTACTTGGCTAAATAACATAGTTATACCACTCCAAATAGCTGCCTTCTTTTACTTGGCTTAATAACATAGTTATACTGCTCCACATAGCCGCCTTCTTTTACTTGGCTTAATAACATAGTTATACTGCTCCACATAGCCGCCTTCTTTTACTTGGTTAAATACCATAGTTACACCACTCCAAATAGGTGACATCTTTAAATTGGCTAAATACCATAGTTACACCACTCCAAATAGCCTCCTGCTTTAACTTGGCTAAATACTATAGTTACACCACTCCAAATAGCCTCCTTCTTTAACTTGGCTAAATACCATAGTTACACCACTCCAAATAGCTGCCTTAAAAACAGGAAAATGATCAAGCTCTACACCTGCATTAACCTTGGACTATATGTGGGGGATAGATCATTTTTAAAATAAAAATATTGATATAAAGACCAAGAGAACAATGGTGTATTTAGACAAATATTTAATGAAAGGACAATAGCGCCTCCCGCCCCCCACCCATCCCCTCAGTTACACACAACTTCAACTAGACATTTAGACAGCGCCCCTTCATGGAAACTAAAAGAAAACTCAGGCCCTAGTGCTGCCACAACAACAACAACACAATGTGACATGTAGGGCAATGCAGTCAATCATGAGAAAACTATGACACTGTAGTTAAGATGGGAACATAATATGACAATGTAGTTTGTAGTTCATGATTTATAAAAAAATAATCTGACATTAAGCACAATGGAGAGAAATTGTCAAAATATGGGACAGAAAATGACAATTGATTAAAATGACAATTAAATTAGACATGATTAAATGATGTCATTCTACTAAATGTAAGGACAATACTTAATTTATGACAACATGTAGAATTGAATGTACAACACCTTTAATGACACGACTGACAAGTGTTCTTATGATAATCATGAAGACTAACGTCACTCCCATCATTTGTTGATTGTGGCATGCAGCCCAACATGTTGTGCCCCACACACTTCCACACACACAGCTGATAGTCGGCCATGGGCTAAGGTTGGCACACCAACATACTTTATCTAAACAGTGTACAGTTTCTCTTCATCAACATACAACATGATAAAAATAGAAGGAAAAAAAAATACACACATTATACATATATCTAAAGATAAATTATATAATAAGCCAAGCTAATTACTGTCAAGTAACTCAATAAAGACAGTAATACTTCATTGTGTAAGCCCCCCCCCCCCTCTCACACACACCCATCTTCTCATTTTCATGCCCTTGTCCAAAATTAACATCACCCTGAGTATGACATTAAATATAATTCTGCACAGTGCAATGGAATTTAAGGTGATCAATAAATCAACATTACACATGGTGGATTTCAAAATTCTTGCTCTAACAGACATGGTGTTCTTGAAATAATAGTTCATGGTCCCTTCATAGCAATCAAAATATGGATGTTGAAAGTTCAATGTTATTTATAGAAATTTTATGTATTTTTATTGTCAAGCCAAGGATCTTAAATAATCCATTGAATGAAGAAGGGAAGTGGAATTTTTTAAAAGTTATGTGACAAATAGGGGAGGTAAGTGAAAATATCACAATGTTCATGGCACAGATTATCTTTCTTGAGTCTCCCCCACATTTACTTTGTGTTAGTACCACAAAGAACTGAACTATTGGAGAGCAAATTCAAGCTTGTCATGTAGTCAAGGGCACTAACTCTATTTAAAAAAAACAGCTCTTATGACAACAGTCACATCTTCATAATCTTCTTACATCACTGCAAAAACCAGGGTATTTGGATCATAGAACTTGAGGCAATAAAACCTTTTTATCTACACATTATCTTACACAGTATTGTTAAGACAGTGCTGGCACTTTTTCTGTGGAACTGTGGTGCCCTGCCCGGTTGCACTCGTAGCCTATCTTCTAATTTTCAAAACGGGGCCTTTTTAAAAAACTTTTGATCTAATTAGGCTCACGGCCAGCACTGTGTGATCAACAACTGTGACGATGTGCCCCAATCCTCTGTACCCAATACCCCTGCCACCTTGAATAAATCAGACAAAAATCATGTGCTCCTCTAGAAATGTCCACAGTTACCAGACATGCCAGCTCTTTTTCAACTTAAGATACTTCAATGTTACGAGGTGAAACCCGCCTTTGGCCTATGGACCCATACACCTACAACAAATACACACCCCACCATATGTAAATCATACAAAGCATGGACTGCCCGTTTAATGAGTTTACATACAATGATTAAAAAGGGTAGTGACATTGGTATAGATGCCCTGCACACTACTCATGCTTCCACTCAGTTTGCCATGCTCATCAAGAGATGCAATCAATAAATACACTGTCTTGTATCACGCATAGTGCCAGGGGAGAGAAAACTATCAGACGAGAGTATTGCTGGACAACAGCACCTCAACAAAAAAATTATTACTTTCAATATTCTCATGCACTTCCTCATAAGACATTTTATTTTCAATGGGGTCCTGTGACAAGTTTCATCATTTTTTATTTTAAAAAAATAATTTTTTTAAAAACATCAATCACCTAAGGCTTATAAGTAAAATATCACATCCATACTGTCTTATTTATAGATTGATAATTTTTTATCAACGGCTGCTTGAATGTGTACACCACAATGACATTTTCATCTTACAACTGTAGTCCCAAGTGACAAATAAATAACCAGTACTCTTACCAAAGTCCATACTCTGTCCTCTGCACCAGGTGGGTTTTTCAGCAACAACATCCAATTATTACCAAATCCTTCTTTACAAAACTAACATTTTTACTTGGAATCATAGCAAGCGAGGGACGTTATCAAAGTATCATCACTTTCTGCCACGATCTAAGATCATCACCCTGATGCAGAGCGTTAAGAATATCCATCTGAACCATGTGCATCAAGGTTTTTAAAACTCCACTTATTACAGGCTGAGTTATGGTTGGAAGTTAATACTGTAGAGAACGTGTCGAACCATGTATTGGAAACTATTACAAAAATAGATCATGACTCAAGACACAGATTGTGACAATATTTCTGGTCAAACAGGAGATTCTATTCAGATTTATCTATTTAATGGCATTCCACTTGATAAGCCAAATCCAGTGAATCAGAAGTAGTGACACCCCCGTTTGTACAATGGGAAAGAAATAATCCTCTGACTAAGAGAAACCCATCTAATATAGGGGTGACAGCTGCCAGTCAGGATCTAGCAACGCTCTCCCAATAGCGTGTGATGGCCACATGACAGGATCTAGCAATGCTCTCCTGATAGTGTGTGATGGCCACATGATAGGATCTAGCAATGCTCTCCTGATAGTGTGTGATGGCCACATGACAGGATCTAGCAATGCTCTTCTGATAGTGTGTGATGGCCACATGACAGGATCTAGCAATGCTCTCCTGATAGTGTGTGATGGCCACATGACAGGATCTAGCAATGACCTTAAGTTGGATTGTGATGGCTACCAGGCAAGAACCTGGCTGTGAGCTCAAGTTGGAATAACAACTCCTAAGAACAGATGAGGCAAGGAATCAGAAGTTAGTGCCATCAATTGGTCCAGTCAAAGAATCAAAGATCAAATAACTTTTCTAGTAGTCTACAACTTTTAAGTCAAGTGGAATGCAAATTTGCTCTAAGTATACATCTTCTCATAGACTTGAAATCTTAATAAAAAATTAACTTTAAAGATGGGCCAAAATTTGAGGAAAAGACCAAATCAGCATATATTATTAAATTATTGAAACACATTAAAACATTCATCAATTATAAAGATCTAACTACATTGATATGTAAAAATAATGATAAATTAAGTATTGAAACAAGATCCAACCTTCTCTCTACAGGGTCCTTCACTCTCCCTTGAAACCATTAGATTCAAGGACTAAGACAAAGCACACACATTCATCCCAGCAAAAACATTTCATATAAATTAAAAGGTCGGTGAGAAATACTGATGACAAAATTTTCAAAGATGACACGTAGGAGGCGAAACGTGGTGAATTTTTTTTTTTTATATATATACAAACATTTTATTATAGAAAAAAATGTGCTGGAAAGAAAGGGGAAACAAGTGAAAATGTCAAACAGAGTTGTCTAACTTTCATGTGTTTTTTTGTTATTGTGAATTTTTTTTTAGAAACTTGCAGTTTGTGACAATGGATCCCCTGGATTTTCCAAGGCTGCATATGCAACATTTAAGAAATGTCCTCATTTGTATGAGCAATCAAACAAAGCAAAATTTATGGATTGTGTAACCTTTAAAGTAAATGGATGTGCAATGAACTACTATCAAATGCACCCCATGATGTATGCAAGGCTGTTATAACTTTAACATTGCATTGTGAAGTCTTGTAACAAATTCATTACTGTATGTAAAATACAATTTAACCCTTTAAAGAATTGGATCTAATTCAAGAAAAATAATATCCACCACAATATCCAATTTAAAAAAATACATATATGTTTTATCTGAGCTTGTTTCACAGATCATGCTGTCAAGTTTCTGCACACAATTAGAGAGGAAAATGTGACTGGCTATATAAACTTTGTCTGAAACTTACCAACGAAAACTAGACTCATTTGGAGCAATGGAATTCAGCCCACAACTTCAACATATATAAGTGTTCAAACAATGTAGTTATCCCTTACAAAAACAAAGTCTACAGCACAAGAGTGAAGCATTTAATTTTTGTTGGCATGCCAACAGGTCCAGTGAGAGCAAGAACAGTTTTTGATATGCCAAGTGATATAAAGACAGTATGAAATCTCTTTAGAGTTGAATCTCAGGCCAGAACATGGCGGCGACAGTCAAAGATGAGGTGCTGTCACAGTCAGCTGAGAAATAAAGAGGCTCTGTCACCCGGGAGGTTCATCCAAACATAAAGTTTACCACTAAGGATTACTGAACGTCAGGAGGTGACAGTGACCTGACAGGCAACAGATAGGGTTGTGGTTCAAATGCCGATCTGACGGCAACCCCACAGACGCTGAGCGGCTCAGGTGACAAACAGGAGCAAACTGGTATCATGAGATCAATTCTGCACGAGGACGCTACTTCATCCTCATGACTTTTAACCGGTTATGCTGTTGACTAGGGAGACTGTTTTTCATTTATGAGTAAAAGTCCAGAGTGCTGTCAGGCTCGGTTATGTTAATCCTGCCGTCATCATCGTTATCATCCTCATTGCCTCCATCGGCCTCTGCCTCATTTTCATCAAAATTATCCTGGGGCTCTGCGAAGCTTGAGCCAAAGTGAACTGTCAGTGATTCGTCATCACAAGGGGAGCACCTCTGCTCGTTATCGTAGTCATCTTCCTCCTCGACTTTGTCACTCTGGCTCGAGGTGGTTGGCGGCTGAAAGAGGACAAGGGCCATGTTGTTGGCCAGCCCATTGTTGCGAGCACTGTAGGTGGAAGTTGTTGCCACCATGTTGTCAGGCTGTTCATCCTCAAAGCAGGGAACATCCTGTGGCGGGGTGAACTCAACGTCTGTGCCTGAGAAAAGAAATGAAATCCCCACATTTAACATGAATCAAGATTGAGAATTTAGTCTAATCATGCAAGGTTTTTAAAAACCTTCTTTTGAATCCATTGGCAGAAAAAAACAAATTCCTAAAGTATCTCTTATCTATGTGTTTTATCTATGTGTTGCGGAACTGACCCAGGCAATTTTGATCAAGGAATTTGGAGTAGAGCTCAGAGCTCCGGTGCAGGGTCTTTTGCCCAGAGCTGGAGGGGAGCTTGTCAAAATTCTTACTGCTTCAAGCCCCAAAAAATTTTAATGAATTAATATAAAAAGTTATAATTGCACTTATAGGTTCTTTACTTATTTTATTAAAAATTGGTGCATATTTTTCTAACAGCTATGTTACCCCCTCTCTTCTACCAGCTGTTACCCCCACTCTTCTACAGATATGTTGGCCCACCCTTCTACAGCTATGTTGCTAGTACATGCATTTCTATCGCCTAGTTAATAAGAATTGTTAGTGATAAACCCATTTACTTAAAGGCACCCCTCAACCACCCCTCCCTTCTTTTAATTTTGCCAGAGCTCAGAGAGGAACAGACAAAAATTTGTCCGGAGCAGAGGTTGGCCAAAAAAAGCCTGCTCCAAGTCCCTGGTTGAAAGTAAGAGAAATGAAGTTGAATCAAAATTTTCTTAACAACCTTGAAAACAAATATATTTGCATACAGGGGACATACAAATAATATTTGGATATGTGCACATTTTAATCTGTAATCCTCACATAAAAAAAAAAGAACCATCGATTGCAACTGTTTGCAGAGTCAAAATATTTAGTTTCTCATTGTTTTGGGGTAAAGGCCAAACAGCACATGGGAATTAACGTCTTCATGAACTGCATGCAAACTTTAGTTTTCATTTACGCTAAAGAAATTTTCCAGATAAGACTTAGGGGTTTCGGTTTATTGGCTGTCAGGATTGTAGTTGCTGGAGTTGCTTGTTATGTGTTGCATGTTTTTATTAATTTTAGTTTTACCAGAACATTTTATTTTTGGACAAATTTTTTTTTTTTTTGGATCTTATAAATAAGATCTTAGTTATAAATAAGGATAATTTACGAGTTAATTGCCTCCCCAAGGTTTGCGCTTGGGGTGGGCTCCCCTTCGAACAGTTTTATTCACACTCTACGATATGGTCACCTTGTATTGTCCACACTTACTCCCCACCACCCTCTTCAGACGAGTCCACCAATGTGTTGCCACTTTATATGGGGTGGGCAAAAACAAATATATAATATAAGGTCAATAATTGTGGATATTGTTTTGTAATTTTGAAGTTATATGCCAAACAATATAAATATAATCAATGTGTTCAATTAGTCCTCCATAGTTTGCAACAACTTTATCCAAACATTGGCACCACTCATTTATGCTTCTGTCAAAAAACCGTTGCGAAAGTGTTCTCCATTCCTGGACCATTCCTGAATTTGGCTGATCAAGTGTCAATTTTGGCTGAAGGTAAATAAAATTTTCAGAAATTCTCATACATCTTACTGTCCTGTCTAATGTCAACATACTACTTTATAAGGTGTAATTGACTGGATTTAAATCAGGATTGTTTAGTGACCACATGACTGGTGTAATGAAGGTGCTATTCTTCACAGTACGTACAAAAAAAAAAATTAATTAATAATGATTATGGCTCTGAGATGCTGCGCCTTCCTGTTGAAAAGTCTAACTATGGCCACCACATTAATTAAAGTGACAATAATATCTCTAATATCTCTTTAAACACCTATCAACCTCCTCAAACCACCCCCCCCTTCTTTTTAATTTTGCCGGTGATCAGAGTGGAGCTGGAACTTTTAAAAAAATTTGGAGCGGACTCAGCAAAAAAAAAAAAGAAAAAAAAAAAAAAACACTATCCAAATCGCCGGTTTTGATCAAATTAAAACGGAGGTGCTATAAAGATAAGATTTTATAGAGGGTGGTATACTGATATAAAGCATAGCCCACCTCAAGTATTGTCTCTGACATTAAGGCGATAAGCTTTTTGTTGATGCATAAATGGTGAAAACCTCAAAGGACACACAGACAATTGCTTTTTAAATCCTTTCTCCCACATACAAGATAAATTGCTTCAAGATTTATGGAGGGCGAGTCTGTTAAACATGAGACAAAAAATACTTATCATCCCACGTATGGGATATGAAATTTTAAATTGATACGAACAAAGAGCAAAATAGTTGTATAATTTGGACCATCTTGTCACAAAATATTGTACAATATAAAAAATGCTGTGAGTTCAAGTAAATAGGCTCAGGCTACTGGAGAAGTAAAAGACAACAAATTTAATTACTGTTTTTAAAAAAATACTGCTTGGTAGTAATAAATAATATGTGTTTTTAAAAATTCTTTTTAAACACTGACCTCTCCTCTGATAAAACAAGACATAGCCACTGCTGTATTCACTTTCTGACGGAACTTGCTGTGACACGGACTCATCGTTGTTGTAGTACCACTGTGTGGTCAGCGGATGCTTAGAGTAGCACGTGTAGTGACCGGCGCTGGCGCCACCAAAGTGGCAGACAATGCTGTAGAGATCATAGACCTGGCCAGATGAGCTGGGCCCCGAGAGGAATCCGCGGACATCCATGCCTTCTTTAGGAAATATCACTTTGGTGTCCACTTTTGTGCTGGACAGGTCTTGGTAGACAAATCTGATGAAGAAAAAAATTGATTTGACGATAGCAAAGCAATGATTCACCTCTCTGTCAGCACATGAAGAACAAACAGTTGAAATCCTGCTTAATGAACAATCCCTCAAATATATTTTCTACATTAATGCATAATATGGGAACATATTTTAAGTTTTTTAAACTTTTAATTTAAAAATTGCATATTATCAAAGATTTGCCTAGTGACTCTTGTGGTTGTGAAATAATCAGATTTTTCAGTATCAATATAGGGAGAACTGTAGCAAATAAAATGTAGATATTTTCACTAAATAGTATTTAAAAGATCCATGGATCTATATGCATTTATTTTTTATTTTTACAGAATATCTATGTATTTCCTTTTTCCAAATCACTTAAGACAGCTTGACACCTGCAGACTAATTGTGAGAGCAATGCAGTGGCGGAAGACCTCTAGTGTTAAGGCCATGTAAAATATAAAGGTGCCTACGACTACGACTTGGATACTGTTGACAGATTCACATATCTGGGATCCAACATATTGAGCACCCTCTCAATGGAGGAGGAGATAAGTGGGAGGATAGGGAAGGCCGCAACTGTTATGGCCAGACTGAAGAAAAGAGTCTGGTCAAACGCCAAACTCACAACAAGAACTGCGACAAACTCACAACAAGAACTAAGCTGCAGGTGTACCAGGCCTGCGTACTGAGCACACTTCTGTATGGATGCGAGTAGTGGACCACATACTCTAAACACGAAAGAAGGCTCAATGGCTTCCACCTCAGATGCCTGCGCCACATCCTTGACATTAAATGGCAAGACAAAGTCCCCAACACGGATGTCCTGTCCCAAACAAACATGTGTAGCGTCCCAGCCATGTTAATCCAAAGACGCCTCCGCTGGCTAGGACACGTCAAGCGAATGCAATCGGGTCGCATACCAAAGGACGTGCTATACAGCGAGCTGGCGACAGGGAAAAGGTCAGTTGGACGGCCTCGTCTGAGATACTTAGACATATGCAAAAGAGACATGAAGTCGGCCAACATGGACATCTCAAACTGGGAGGAGCTGGCAGAGGATCGATCCTCATGGCGAGGCATCGTGAAAGCAGGATCACTACATGCCGAGGATCAAAACAGGGCGGAAACAGCTGCAAAAAGAGCGAGGAGGAAGGCCGGTAAATCCACCGCATTCGTGTGTGGGAAATGTAAGAGAGACTGCCATTCGAGGATTGGTCTCACCAGCCACACCAAGAGCTGCAAGCAATAAAGATAATCTATCGTCTCCCGCAGACGGAAAGATGCCATACATACATACATATATATGAACACATTGTGCTGTAGGAATGAGGAACATTTCCAACTCATGATATATTATGATAAGACAGCAAAATGTGTTGAGTCAAACATCTTTTGTTTCATAAACTAACTGTGTGAAAATGAATCAAACTTCTGAGGTGGGTTACCTCTTGAGGTGAATGATGAGGTTGTCGGGGTATCTCCAGACTGTCATTGTTTTCTTGGCACACTGGTTCCTTTCACACTGGGGGCAGTACCAGGGGTTGTGCTCATCTAAGATCTCACTGTTGATTCAAAGAGTTGTCATTCACACATATAATATATTATATTAAGAAAAAACATGTACCTTCCAAGCCCATCAAAGTTTTGCCATATATCTTTTTAAAAATCTTTTGTAGTTTAGCAACTGTATTTATTTAGCAGAAATAATAGGAGCAAAATTAGTTTCCATCGATGTATTGAACAACAAAGAAATATTTGTTTAAATAATTGAATCATAAATATTTGGCTTTTGCTTGCTCAAAAACTGAATGCATCATGTATGGCATAATTATGGCTTTGCAAGTTTATAAACAAAAGCTACCAATGATAATAATAATAGTACTTGTTTTTCTCTACTTAAGAAAAAAATGTTTTCATTCTTACGATTAATAAACTATTTAGGAGTTTAAATCAGCTCACAACTATTTAGTCGCCTCAACTATTGCTTTTGGAAGCAACAAATTTTTTAAAAACTACCCACCTCTGTGTAAAGGCCCCGAAGCAATCCATGATAGTTGTAGGCTCAGAAGACCTCAGCCCAGCCATTGATGCGTCCTCATGAACATACTGAGAGTCACAGACCTGCTCAGATGAAAGTGTCTCACATATGTGTATGGTGAGACAATCGGATGGCTGAAGGGTTATCTCCCCATCCCTGGCTATTTCACAGCCAGAACAGTGGCGTGAGTAGGTGCACCGAGAGCAAGTGAGGCCCTGAAAATTGGAATAATTAAAACTTATAACCTGTTCTAAACATATAATTCTTACAAGCTTAAACAGAAGCTTAAGCATCTTAATGGATGTAAAAGGTAAAATTCTCGCTTAAGCATCTTAATGGATGTAAAAGGTAAAATTCCAACTAACCAAAATTTCCATAAATCATAAATAACTTCAAAAATACATAAAACATAATTGAAATAATCAGCACCTGTCCATCAGTCAGTTTTATAGAGTAACTTGAAAGCAATGGACTGACGATATGGTCTACAAGGCTGTAAAGCGAGTCCCCAGCCATCACACTGGGCATGTGCAGGATGCTTGGGTGGCCAAAAAGTTGGAGAGTGTCTGCGCCAGTGTTGTCTCTGACATTGTGGCGATAGGCTATGCTCATTGGTAGGGTTCTAAAAAAAGAAAGAAAAAGTTGCATCTCAATAAGAAATTCTTAATTTCCCATAGTGGGCTGAAAATATTAAATGAACAGATTTCGTGGAAATTTTTGTTACCTGATTTTAGGCTTAGCAGCGGATGCACTGGCTAATGGTACGAAATCTTCATAAGTGTTGGCTGGCTGAAGGCAAATCTGGAGATGTGTTCAAAATTACTATGTGAGGACAAAGGCCAGTGAAAAGTATTTTTTTTAAATAATGTGCAAGGAAAAAAATTCATCTTTTTTTTTAATACGTCTGTAGTGAATAAAAATCATGCTTACCGGACAGCAAAATGCAGACACATCAGCTGTGTGTTTAACAGACATCTGAAATGGGGGATAGAATGTCTATTAGTGTTTGGAAATGTAGTGACATTATCATATTTAAATATTTTAAAATTATCAAAGAAGAAATGTATGCTTCTTCATAAATAGGTAAAAAGTAACTCAGCCGGACAGAGAAGCGGACAGGGAGAGCTCCGACGGTAGGAATAGAGGGCAGTCAGAGTTGCGAGATGAGAGAAAGTATAAGCGAAGTATCAGCCCAATAAAGGAACAAGAATCAAGAAAATCATCAAATGTTATCGCCTGAGTTGCTTCCTTAGTGAATACCAGATATAGATGCAGGTTAGCAGAGAACAAACAATCAAACAAGGTTTCCTTACAATTTTAGAGCTTACAATACAATTTTAACTCAGATATCTGTAAATTTTTTTTTTAAAACAGTGCATCGATAGTGAGCATTATTCTTTGTTTATTTGTTTCAATTTTTTTCAGGAACATAATATATATTTTTCAAACAACTTAATAAATTATAAAGTTGTATAAAGCATTAAAAAAGCTAGTAGGCCAGAAATATATATATATTTTTATTAATATTCTGCTGACTAAGCTCTTATTTTATTATTGCCAATCTCAGCTGAGGTAAATTATTGAAGATTTAATTTTACATACAGCCATTTAACCACATTCTGGGTAAGGATTTTCAATCAATTATTTTTGTATTCTTTACCTCTAAACAGTTTTGACAGAAGACACCATCACACATGATGTGAGTAAGAAGTTCTGTGTCAAGGAGATCCTCCAAGCATATAGCACATGATCTCCACTGGTCAGTTAGTGGACCTAAGGTAGGATAGAATCAAGCATGATATCAACAGAAATAACACTTTTCTCTTTTACTAAATGTCACATGGCGCTACAAAGCTACTATTTTTATTATTCCAAAGGGCTGCCACATAAAAATGAAAGTTATGTCAATTTCAGACTTATGGCATCATCTTTCTTAGCTACAAGAGGCCTCCACGAACAGTTAATCAAATTTACAGTGTGAAGAGGAAGCAATTTCACCATTAAAGGAAACTCAAGGGCAAGGTAACAATGGTCACGATGCAGATTCTTAACCCACCAACTGTCATAATGGCTGATTATCTGCCATTATGACTTTTTCTGTGTTGTTACAGCCAATATAATCGGTGTCTACTAAAATTAATATTATAAATGGGAATCTTAATTTTTGTTGTTTTTTTTAGAATTGCAGGCCTGTTTACTCTTACGATTTTGGCGTTCAATGTACGATTTTGAGGTGTATAAATTATATATACTGCACTTTTTTTTCTATAAAGAGAATTCATTGAACGATTATATGATGACATTGTACGATTTTAAGAGTTTTAGGGTAAACAGGTCTGGAATTGCATGTCCTTTTTTTTCCTTGTTTTTTTTTTAAAATCGAGCTGAAATTGTGGGAGATTTTTTGTTAAACTCAGATGTTGGTCCTGCAAAACAAAAGCCTCATTTATTTAAATTATGTCTATATGAAATTGATTTTGAAGATTCTAGCACTAGTAGCAGTTCAAGTTTTATTACTGTAAAATTTTGGACAATGTACTAATAGTCATATATTTGAGGAATATTCAAGTCACCAATGAATTTTTTTTTTTTTTTTTAAATTTCTATAAGCCTAACAACTTTATATTTTCTAAACTGAAAGAATAGTGTTTTCAGTGTAAGAAAAACATATTTAGAGGATAAACAATTGCACAATTGTACTCACTTATGAAAGGTTAAAGTAATTTAAAATGAGCTCACGTAATTCCCAAATTCATACTATATATATATGTGTATGATTCCTTGCCCAGTTTACTCTCAGAATATCTATACTTATATCAGTCTCTGGATTCATTTTCTATTAGTTTTGGATATTTTAGTGATAATTTGGGGTATTTTAGTGATACATATCAAAATTACTTAAAAAGGTTCACACCACAGCATATTTAGACAGTTAAAGTTAATCCCAAATAGCACTAAATCACATTTTCCACTATAAAGCTGCTAGACCACTACTTACAAGCTTGAGCACCATCACCATGGCTTGTGGAGGGATTGTGTACAGGGAAACTTGATGACCAGGCAGGCTCTTCACACTCTGCTCTTGGCTTCTCTTCTCTGTAAGGACAGGAGGTGTCCACAGCCTCACTGGAGCCTGGGTACAAAATATCATGAGGATGTACTGATAAGCCTTGTCTTTGGATTAAAAGTTGTACAGCCCAAATTATAAATGATATAAAATTATTTTTTATAATTCTGAGGGTGTATTAAATTTTTCTTTTAAATTTTAACTAAATTAACCCACCACTGAAAATAATTATTAAGAGGCTCTTATGGGGCCTATCCCCCCCCCCCCCCATTTCACCCTAATAGAAAACACCCTGGCTATTCCAGGAACACCAAGGAGAAGCTTCTCTTAAATTTGACCTTACTTAGTAAGGAGTGGATTCCTACTTTGGATTACTATGANGGGGGAGGGGGGGGGGGGGGGGCAAAACGTAATCCTATCTTTTCTGGCCAATGCAAATACACAATTTGCTTGAAACATTTGTAAAGGGGGAATCCAGGAGTTTGTGTGCTGTCAACTAAATGTGTTTAGCATTGTCCAAAATACAACTCTGCTGCGGATTATGCAGAAAATTACATAATCAGACAAATATTTCATCACAACTCTTTACATAATTATAGAAAGTAAAAGCACATGCCCAAATGGACACAGTGTTAGGTGTTTTTCTGTTCACAATGAAAGTAAACAGTACAGAAAGGAATGGGCTCAATGGAGTGTTAAGAGTAAATAAAACAAATAAAAAAACTATTCAAATTGCTAGTTTCAACCGAAAGAACCTAAATTGTATTCAAATCAAAATTTTTTTTAAAAACTTACCATCTTGAAAGTATCCATAATCTGTGTCGTTTTGAGTTCTATGGAGAAAATAAGATCCCGGACTCTCCCCAAGCCTGGCCGCCACGGACATCAGAGTAGCTTCATGCTCTGGGATGTGGGAGAAACTTTCTGGGCTGGGGCAAGAACGCGAGGGGTTCTGGCTGCTGCCACTGTGACTATTATTGCCCCCACTGCTGCTGCTGATTTGAGGTTGGTTGTTGCTGATACTGATGGTGGTAGTGACTGTCGTTGAGGTCGTGACAGTGGAGCACTTTGCAAATCCTCTTTCTGATTTCACAGGGCTGATTTTGGCTGGGCTTTCTGGGGGCCCACTTGGTGAGCTTACTAGGTGTGCACTTGTTTTCCCATTAGCTGGGGTTTTCTCACGTATATTCTCTAAACTTGCTGCCTCGTTATCATCATTAGCGTATTTTCTGACACCAGTAGCTTCTCTGGGACTCTCTTTATTCTTGTTGATCCAAAACCCTGAGGAGTTGGAGTTAATATTGTCCTCACCGTTGGCTTGGGAGGATGAGCATGCTAAAGAATTGTTGGTGCCCATGGCACCAAGGTCCTCATCATAATCCAGATTCCAAGAAAGACGTTGGTTGTTGGAATACTCTCCACTCACCCACGGCCCCCTCCCTGATGGCCCTCCGGATGTAGACTGACACTCACCCTCGTCATCTTCCACGTTTAAATAAGCTGATGAAAATTCAGGATTTTCACGTGAGCTTGGTTCGCACACTTCAGAGTCAGAGAACATACAATCTAAAGTGTCACGGCTGCTTGGCGAGTTGACGTTAATGGAATCGAAGCTCTGATTGGACACATGGCTGTCAGTGACATAAGGCAGCTCAGCTCTGGAACTTGATGGTACCTCAAGGTCATGCCTAAAGGTAGGGCTACCTTCATTATTGAGCAGCTGGTCACATGACAAGTTGTCACCAGCCTGCACATTTCCTGCATCCACGGATATGATTTCAAAAGCATATATCTTTCGGTTGAATGTATTCACATACTTTAAGAGAATGTTGTCATCCTGAATTGAAATGAAAAAACATTTTATAACTGACAAACCCCAAAAAATTCAAGAAAATATAAATAGCAAAAAAATTTTTTTTATTTCAATCTTAGATTGTTTTTTTGTTTTTTTAACTGGGACAATCATCATTTACAATTTGTTTTCAATTTTTTAATTTATACTTATTGTGCTTTTGATTCTAACATATTCTAATTTGTGTTAATTAGGAAATAATATATATGAAATTATTTTCCAATTGGAATCTTGGGGTAGCATAGGCAGAAGATATTTAATTAAATACAAAATTGGAGGTTACTTTCCATTTTTGGTTAGGATTTACCTCTTCCCCAAAAAGAGCTGTCATGCTGAGGTGACTGCCCCATTACAACCTGCTCCTTACCCATGGCTGGGGATGACACAGCCCTAACTTTTGGTTGTGAGGTAGATAACTCTTACATTGTGTCACAGGTTATGTGGTTTAAATTGATTTAGCCTACAGTTAATGACGACACTAACCAAAATCCTAGAGATATGGGAATCCAAAACTTCAGCCATGATAATGTTTCCATCCTCTTGGCTGATCATTTCGCACAGCTTTTTCTTGACAGTGCCAATTCTGTCTGTTTTGAGCAGATTCAGCAGGTACCTGGCGGGCGGCTTGTGTTGGGATATGTACACCACACCTATGAAATGATTTACTTTTTACTTCAACACAATGACCACTTGTACAAAAATGGTGAATAAAAATTATGAATAAGTAGTCCTCAAGTAGTGAATCTTTGAGGTTAGCATGTTAAACCAATAGGAAATTATGAAATTCTCTTTTGAAATATTCACATGGTTGTAGTTATTTTATTAAAATGATTGGCAAATTTAATTATTTTAAATACTTTTTTTTAACCATTGGTGATTCCATAATGGAGATTTTTACACAGCAATATAGTGTTAAAGGTTTAAATTATAAGCCTGATTTAAAAACGGGATGTTGTGAAATCTATTTTATTTTTAAAAATGTAATAAGAGGGTGCTTCCATCATCTATGACTGACTGATAACTTTTTCAAAAGCAGACTATGCTCCTTTTTAAAGAAAGAGATATATTTGGCCAGAATTTTGTGCACTTTGATTCACAAAGTTGATACAACATACAAGTTAATTACACTGATAACATTGACAGCGTTGTGGAAAAAAAAAAAAGGCTGATTTAAAAAACATCAACCATATTCTGCATGCCTTCATCTCAATTAATATTAATGGGATTTATAACTCTGGTAAGAATAGCTTACTTATTTACAAACACATATGACATCAGCCTGCACATATCACAACAGTTAAATGTAAACATAGCGTGGATAAGTCAACTCACTTATCTGCTGGTCCATAGCATGAGGTATGGGTAATGAAAGGTACATGAAAGGCTCATAGGTTACTGATACATGGCTACATTCTGAGCACACCACCTAGGATAGAGAATCAGCAGAGTGAAACACACAATGTGACGGCAACCTGTCACAGGTCATGAGAATAAATGAAGAGTAATTATTCAAACTTGTGATTAGGCAAAATATGATTAATTCAATGCTTTAAAATGTTAGATCACATGAAATTTTGTGATCACATAATTAAGAGGTGTACAGACATACACTCCATCACCTAATGCGTTCCAAGACAGCATATGCCTAAGGAAAACTGTTCACTTAAATACTGTTCAGTATACACTTATGACTGCAGCACCCCTACATTTGGCTTGACCCAATGGCACATTTACAGCGTTGAGTGTTATGGTAGGAGATATGATTACAGCTGCTGATAATGGATCTAAGATGGTCAAAAGTGTGACCACTGATTAAGTCCCACACCCTTGCCAGGTATCCTTGGCAGCAGTTTTGTACCTGTCTCAGCTCTACATTAGGTTAGTGCTAGTTAGAAGTTCTCAAGCAGGCAACAGTGCTGTTTAATACTACAAAGAATACAGCACCCAGAAGCTGAGAAAAAAAAATCTAACAGCTATCCAATAAAATCTCTGTAATATTATGACTTTTATTTCCCTGGGGTGGGAGTTGAGAGATGCTAATGTTATGGTTTTATAGTGGATGCAGTGACACCAGGCAAGATGTGGAGTGGGGTACATCTGGTGGGCCATAAAAAAGCTCTGTCACAAGCAAGCATCTTGCATATAGACAGAAGCTGAAGCAAATTTGATAGTAGAGGTAACAATGAGATTGCAATCGTAAGCCAGAATACTTATGATCTTTCTAAAATTTTAGAAAAACTGAACAAAACTGTTTTTAAATAGTGAAAATACCACACGCTAGTAAATAAATCCGGTAAATAACAAATAAAATAAAAAAACTAGCAGCAACATGCTGAGAGGAATAGGAAGACTTGCTACACACCGTGCTTCGAAACTGTCCTTGGAAAGTGCTGACAACCACACTGTCATTCTTGGCTTTGTACTCCTCCCAAACTCTGTTGGCCATCATCACCTCTGAGGAGGCACAATGGCGCAGACAGTTTGGTACAGATGAGCATTCAACAGTGGAGGAATGGGAGCCAACCTCAAGCTCATCATCATCTGAGCTTTCAACTTCAACCTGCAGTGTGAACAAAATCAGTGGATTTATTATGTTTTATTAATATGTAATGACAAGGAGTGAGTTATTTTTTACTATTGCTATACTTCATACAAATAAAATTTGGTACCGGGCTTACCTCATCAATTTCCATACAATCAGCATCGGCAGCCGAGTCAATGAGATCAGTGCGAATATTGCTTCTGACAGGAATGGTATTAAACTTGGAGTATGCTTGCATCTGAACGTTCTTCTCCTCTTCATTCAACTTATTGTCCCCAACAAGCTTCAACGTCAGCACGTCCATCCCACTGACCTCACTGTTGCCAGGAGGAAATTTGGCCTCAACATCCATGACATCTCTGTCCACACTGTTGTTCAAGACATTAGGATCAGAGTTTTTTACTGGTTTCACCACAACAACAGATGAATGGGCGTATAGATTTGTGTCCTTGACACCACCGAATCTCTGACCAATCAGAACCTTATCGGCTTTGTCCTCTTCTCCAAAAGCCTCTTGGAGTATGTTGATTTCTTTGGAGGGTGGCCTAAGCCGATTATCCATTTTAGCAAATTTTTCAGAATCAGAAGTTATATCCTGCAGGAGTTCTGAGACCAGAACATTGGTGTTTAATGTTTTGGTCTCCTTGCTGTAGAAATCATCCAAAAGTCCAGGGGAGAGCTGAGACTGAACATCTGAGTTATCAGGACCTGTAAACTTAACATCAACACAAAGAGTGTCTTGACAAGAGGTAACCATGTTGTCAATTACATTGAGGTCTTTGTGAGAGCAGGTCAGGGCAGAATTGCTGGAGACAATGACATTCCCAGCCTCCTTAAGGACAGTGCTGTCCCCCAGCATGTTTCTCCTGCTCTTGCTAGACTTCTTGCAATCAGACGACGATGTGACACAGTCTTTCAGGTTGTTGTTCGTGTTGCGATTCAACTCCACAGTGTCGATTTTTAGCCGCTTGAAAGCGCTGCTCTGTTCCGAGTCAGTGCTGTGAGCAGAGACTGTCGAGTGATTACTGTCCTCCGAATGAAAAATAGTACCACATGTTGTGACAGAATTGCCACTGGATACCCTTTTAAGTGATGGCTTGAGGATGACGCCAGAGTCTGAAGAAGACACATCATCCAGGTTGGAACGACTGGTGTAACGTCTAAGTGCGGGGAAAGAACTAGATATCATCTCATCCTCCTCCTCGTGATCAGGAGATTTTTGGCTAGCAACGTCCCCATGACTAGATGGACTTGTGACTATAGAGTCTACAACAGAGGCATCACTTGTTGGACTTCCTTCACTGGGGTAGGCAGGGCTCTGGCCTATTTCACCGACAAGTGATGGTTGAGCAACCTCAAGGAATTTCGGAGAGTTTCGCAAGTCTGAAAGTTCTACAGCAATCAGGTCCTGCTTTATCACAGTGATATTGGAATCTTTGTTGTTGAGATCAGTTTTGGCGACAAGATCACCACCTCTTTCATTGTCCTCAACTCTAACCTGCGCATCGACCGCCGATAACGGAGATTCTGTACCTGAGGTGGCGATGGCTGCTGAGCAGCAAGTCACGGGGAAAGACAAAGGTGGGGAAGATGAGGACGATGATGCTAATGGCAGTGGGGATGTTGAGTATGAGCGTTTGTTTGAAGATGTAGCGTTGTTGAGCTGCTCATGCAGTGTGTCTAAAAGCAAGGCCAGAAACTCTTGACAGTCATGCTAAGGAAAGAATAAGGAAATACTATTATTATAACCCAACAGCTATAATTATAACCCAACAGCTACAACATTAGTTGATGTCAAAAATATTAGGTTAATTTTTAATATTATCTTTTGAATATTCCTTTTCCAAGTAAGTTAATCATGACGTTTCAAGAAGTATGACATACATTTCATCATTTAATATTTTTTACCATTTTCTATGAAACCTACCAGAAAATGACAGGTTTGAATCCAAATATTAAAAAAAAATGTCAGCACAAACTTTTGTGTTCACACTTCATTTGGAAACTTGTGAAAACTTCAGCAGGATCAAATGGAACAGCTCACTGCTTTGTTTTTTTTTGTTAGGGTAACAACTTTATACTTCCACAAAAGAAACTGTTGAGTCTCTAACAACACTTAACCCCAACATGGGAGAAACTGCCACCCTGCAACCAATGCTGGTTCCCAATGGCCAGCCAGGGATATCACCTTGGTGGTGTCCTCCCAGTGACATAGCTCCAGGGTTCACAGACTTCAACATAACCTACTAATAAAATGTGTGAATTAGCGTTTAATATTTTTGTACCATCAGCAGCCATGAATAGATAATCCAACTTTTAAAACATTTTGAGAGCCACTGACCTGCCTGTAATCCTCAAACTGAGAATGATAAAATCCTAAAAACTCTTTGAACTTTCTTGGGTGCACCACAGAGAACTTCCCGCTCCACATCTTACAAAGCAGCACGTAGAACTGGGCAGTCAAGGTGTGCCGGTTGCCTTCGGTCAGGGTGTAGTTATCACAGAAGTATTTGACCAGAGCAGAGCAGCTCATCAGGCTCTGGATTCCAGCATTCATGAAACAAGTATTCCCAAGGTTGTACAAGCCGCATGAACCAGGCACTGCCTTAGCATCTGTAATAAGGTAGTACCGGTACATATATCAATATATCACACACAAAACAAAAATGATGACCTTGCTAGCAAAATTTTTGGTCATATTGGTCATATTCGACTAAAATCTATAAAATGCATGATATCAGAACATAACACAAGCATTTATTCTACCTTGCACATCCTTGGAATAGCTGATTGTTTCCGTTGTGTAGAAGTTTGGAGGCAAAGCTGGCCCATAACGAACTGAAGAAGAACAGGAAACAAAAAATGACACCAATACTAGTTTAAATTGTATTTCCGGTATTCTATTTCCAATTTAAAACTAGGGAGGGTATCAATGCTATTTAATTAAATTAAAATGTGTAAGTTAATTATTTCAGATTATTATAACTTGTTAAATAATTTATGAGATTGCTCCCCAACCACTCAAAATTTATTTTAATTTAAATTATCTTACCAGCTAATATATATTAGTGAAATTGACATACCTGGTTCAATTGAGCCAACTCCGATCTCTGTGGTCACTGTGTTGTTAAGGCCATCAGCTAAATGGAAAAGGTCACCATCTTTAGGTGCAAAAAGAGAAATGTGCTAATTGATCAATAAAATTAACATAATATATGATTTAGGGAATAAGCATGTTTCAATATATTAGTTTCTTATCTAAAATAGGTAACAGTACCTATCCGATTTGTTCCTGTACTTTTTTTTAATGTTTTAGAAGGAAAAAAATAATATCATTTATTTGGATACCTTGAAACTTGATGGCAAGCAACATTTGTTTTAATTCTAAGGAAGCTTCAGTATTACCACTAAATAAAGTTGAATTAAAAAATAAAAACAGGACATAACAGTAAACTATCATTTAACCCAAAAGATACATAAAAAGGATTACTTTCTCCACTGGAGGTAGAAACATCGGGTCCACTAGTCAAAGAGATAGTCGTAGCTGTATGCGGCAGCATGTGATCAATGGTCTCTTGCGGGGTGGAAGTCACAGTACTGGAGGAGACCTCCATTGCAAGAAACAACTTCTGGATACAAATGGTGATAGGGATGCAGGTGTGGCCAAGTCGATCTCGACTAGAACCACTGTTTAAGGATATATATTTTTATACACAAGAAATGAAATAAATAAAATGTGGGACAACTATAGAATATTTTTTATCATAAAAAATTATAGAAATTAATTGTAAGGCTTTTGAGTGACACAAGTGAAAATAGAATTTACCTTTTGATATATCTTTAAGATGATCAACAGAGACTGTCTTGACTTGAAATATGAGTTTAATCCCCCTTGGACCACATTTTTATCTAGAATGAAAAAGTGATGTTTCAAGCTTGATAGAAAAATAACTACCATGGTAAAGCATTTGGCTGCATTTGCCATGTTGAGAAATTACATGTTTTTAAAAAGTTTTACCATGCTGAGCAGGATAGAAAAAAAAATATATACATTGTCCCACTCTTTGTTTCAGGGGTGGGGGGTATTTTGGAGTTAAATGTTAAAACATGATATTCTTTATAAAGTTAACCACTTTAGTATTTTCTCTATATATTGCAGTTAAAATATTTATCACTTATTGTAAGTTTTATCCTATGATTGTGAATCTTAAAGCCTGAAAAAGGGCTGCTAATTTAAAATTAAATCTTCCTTACGGCAGTAGGAAGACACCCCCCCCTCCACTTTTTCCCACTAATTTGTATGTTGGTTGGTAGGCTATACATTTTATGTGATCAGATGGGGGTGTGGTTTAAAAAAATGATTGGGTAGCACTGCCTATTAATAGTATGCCAAGATTTGTGTCATGGGTCTTGACACATCTTTTTTCACCAGTGTATCTATTTGGTTCAGTCCAACAAAATATTTCCATCATAAAATCATCACAGTGGACTTAAGTTAAAGTTGTGCGAGGTTAACCATTACTATTGTGATATCAAGCAATTGTTAACACAAAACAACAGTTCAGTATGATGATAAATAAGAAATACTGCTGTGATTTTTTAAAAACTTTTAACAATAATTACCGTATTTATCGGCGTATAACATGTGCTTTTTCTCCCTGAAAATAGGGGGCAAATGATGTCTGCGTGTTATATGCTGATATAATGTTAAGTTTTTTCCCTGAAATTTACGTCTTAAAATGAGGTGGGTGTTATACGTCAGTGCGTGTTATACGCCGATAAATACTGTATATATCATTGATTTCCAGAGATTGTTAGCTTACAGTTGTATTAGTGTCTGAAATTTTAGTTATTAAATGTACGTTCTTTATGCCAAACCACCCTCCCCTTCCCCAACCGCTGCATGCACCAGTATGCAAAAAAATGCAAAATCAACACACACACCCCCTCCACCAAACTGAGGATGTTATCAATGTATGGATCCCCATCATACTGATTTAGAAATTTAAATCTAGTGACTATGTGCTCTTAATAATCATTATATTTCCTGGCATTTCCCACTGTAAATTGCTGTGAGTGCCTGTGTATATCAGCGCACACCCTGAGGGTGTCGGGTTTAGCAAGTGGAAAAGTTGCATTTGTTATGCGAAAGCCCTTTATGAACAACCTCTATCCAGAGCCGTCACATGACATGTGTAGGCCCCTTGCTACGAGACTGAGGGTTGTGAATGAACAGTGGACATCATACACAGGTATTTTGTTCGGATGTTCGGAACAGATTAGTGAAAAGCTATATTCAACATCATTGCTACATTTCCATGTACAAGTAAAATGTAAATCACCTGCATGAAGGAAGTTTAAATACAATAAAAATCTCACTTAGTATTCAAAATTGTTCTGCGTTTATTACAGATGTTACATACATTATACATGGACTTTCTGACTGTTTTCTCATTTTTTTTCTTATTGTTCCTGTAAATATGTCTTCATCTTTCAAATTATTGATCATGATAATCATACTGGCTAAACCGGGGAATGGCAAATTACTGCAAATAACATCACTTTTGCTTTGGCCCCAGTACCGGTAAAACACTTTTAGGAGCCAAAGGTGTGTCTTATCTTAACACAGTTTGTATGTTCACGGTTATGAGTTTTAAGGGTCAGCACATCTTGTTCAAGTTAGAGACCGACTGAAAGTGATTTTCTGACTTGGGTAGAAACCGATACTGGGCCAAAAGTTAAAAATGACTTTTGGCTGAAATCAAAAGCTGAACGAGACTATCTGCCGAAACCAAAAGCTTAACGAGACTTTTGGCCCGAAACCAAAATATTTAGATCTTTTGATATTTAGATATTTTGAATTTCGTTCACGCATACATTCTGCTTACATCAAAAAATGATGGGAAAAGTATCAATGTTTACATTCTTTGTATAAAAAATGAGATCATTAGTTTTAATAGATAAGCATGCAATGAATACTTTGGATTTTACCATTTGAATTAAAAAGTAATTTACATTTGCTAAAAATGTATTTTAAAGTAGTATGGTAATAGGAAATGGGGGGGGGGGGGAGAGAATTCATGTAAATTAGATTTTTTAGTGCCCTTTGCTTTTATAATATCATTACAACACTACTTGACATTTATCTACAATAATTATTGTGGCTCTGGCTCTCATGCACCTAAATATATTAAGGCTATAAATATATCACCAAAATGTTTCACGGTTATCGTCACACCAATGCTTTGTGTTTTCATAAATAGCTGGCAAGACATCGCTGTATTAATATTTAGCCTAGTACCAACACTTTAGTCTTTCCGTGAAAGAGACATAACTATTTCGTACGGCGACCAACCTCTCTCACCTCCATTGGTGAGGGAAAAATATTTTTTTAACTGGGTCTCTTAACATTGTTGTTCTGATTGGCCTCGAAGGAGAATCGCAAAAGACATCTAAATTGGTCCCCAGAATCATAAAAGTAAACAGGTCTGCAGTAGGTCTAGTACATAATTACTATACAAACCCATGAAATATGCACAGGTGTGTTATTTTGCCAATAACAATGTTTATAGGCAAGATAATGAGGAATTTCACAAAATGGATCAATTGTAAAAGCCTAAGTTTCCTTAATTTTAATTTTTTTTTTTTTAAAATAAAACAAAAATAATAATTGAAATATTACCGTCCATTCCCTAGGAATATACAATATTATTCACCTTTGTCTGTGACAACATGAGCATGATAAATCAAAATGAATCTCACAAAAGAATTGAATAAACCTAGGGTTCCAAATGTTATTTTTGAAAAATTAAAACAAAAATAATGATATAAATATTACCATTCATTAGTTTTTCTTCCACAAAACTATTTACATTTGACTAGGCTTAATTGAAATTTAAATTTTGGAAATAAAGGACAAGTAGGTCATCATGCAGCTGTGAGCAGTTTTCGCAGATTATTTGTCATATAACATATGACAGCAAGATAACGAACAATAAGAAATATTGGTTTGTTGGCCTAGAGACAGACAGACAGTCTCACTTCTGGTAGATGACTGAAAAAATCAATCACTTTCGGCCGAAACTGAAATTAAACTGAAAGTTTAACTTTTCTGTTGGTAAACTAGTCCATAAGTGATCAAATGGCTACTTTCTGCGCCAAAAGCGAAATTTGGTTGGTCTCTAGTTTAAGTGTAACACTTATAGGCCTGTAAGACTTGAACAGCATCTGGAAATTGATCACAAAATATGATATTGCCTAGTATTTACTCTTCCACAAGACCACACATGATCATATATAATAGCTGTATCTTATGATAATAAATGTTTGCTGCGGTGTACACAGGCCTAGATAAATAGTTTTGCTTAGGTACAATGCCACCATGGTTTTGCTAGGCACAATGCTCCGGTTTATGCAGCCACTTTGTTCATTGAGATTGTGAGTTGCTGAGAGAGCAAAGAACTTTAACAAGTACATGTAACACACTACTGACTACAGACAGTGTGAACAGAAAACAATAATTGTTTAAAATAAACCCCACCACAAGAACCCAACCCTTGAATTTTGGTCAACAAATTTAGCATGGATCTGTGATGCTTGAAAGATTATCCTACTCAGGGTCTTCTACTCAAATGTTGAAGAGGGCAGTGTGTTGTCTAATTAATAAGTATTTATCATCTTGATTAACAAAGGCTGCCTTCAAATTAGGTAGGAAAGGGGGGAGGGGGTATTTTCAGGCTTTGTCTCCTCTTTCCTTGGCACAGCCATGACTACGCCTAAGCATCCCCTCCTACCACAGCCACACAAAATTGAGTAAGTAAGAGAACTTTATTTAGGTCTTTAGAGGTAGTTCATTGCCTTAAAGTTATAGGCCTATACTTTTATGAGTCCTATTTTAAGGAGCTCTCTAAAATCTTTCAAATTTAAAGATAGTGTTGTGACTGTGATTTTTCAGTAAGTCTATTTTAGTTCAGTCTTAGTCTTAATAAGTTTTAGATTTCTAAAGACTTAAAGGACAGTCACTCCCAGTTAGGCCATAAATAAGTGTTTACTTTTACTATTTATAGACCTTATGCCACTAAATTTTACTTGACAAAATAACTTGATAAATCAGCCCAGCACAGCCTGGAATAAGACTAACCTTAAGGCCTAGGAGTAGGAGGTAGATCCTAAACTTAGAAATAAAACAACATAATAATCGGCCTTAATCGAAAGAGCTTATTTTGTCGTTTTGCTTTGGCTTTAGGCTTTAGCTTTAACATCAAAATTCGTCTTTCGGAATATGTTATCGACTTACCGAAATAATATGATACGTTAATTTGATCAAACTTTGCACATACAACTTCATTATCACCAAACTTAATATCCAAGTAGTCTTTCGAAAATAAAGTCTATGGTGTTCTGGGAAATTGGAACCTAAAATGTTTAGTGTTCTGTTGAGGTTTAGAAAATTGGACATGCGCATTATTCAACTTCCTTCTTGGTGAACAAAAAAATAATAATAAAATTTACAAAAAGATGTACGCGTATAATAAAAATCCACAGTTCAAACTTGTTTAAATATGTTGAAATTATATTAAATAAGGTTTCCTATGCCGATTTAAAAAAAATATATATAAACTAGAACCTAAGTATGTAATTTAGTTTATAATATATATTTAGGTTCTATTTTATATAGACCTTATGCCCCTTATTTTTATTGACAAAATCAACCTAGGCATGAGTAGGAGGTTGATCCTAAAACTAAATATGAATAAAAGCAAGACAAAGATCATGAAGGTAAACTCAGTGAACCAATGCCAATAGCATATCTCTCTAGCAGGAAATGCACTGGAAGAAGTGGATGTCTTCACATACTTAGGCTTAGGCGTACCATTGACATATATGGTGGATCCGAAGGGCTAGAATTGGAAAGGCTAGGTCAGCATTTGTGTTATTGACAAAAATATGGAAGTCAAAGGAGATGACTCTGCAAACCAAAGTCAGAATTTTTAACACAAATGTCAAAAAAGTCCTACTATGTGGAGCCGAAACTTGGAGAACAACAGCGAGCATTAAACAGTAAGTACAGCCAGTGGCGTAGCTAGGGAAGTGGGGGTGCGGACCGCACCGGGTGACACCATTCTAGGCGGGTGACACCAAATTGAAAAATAGCATAGGCCTATTTACAGACCATACACTGCTCGATCTAACAGAATTTCATAAAAGGATTAACGATCACACTTAAATTTTCCACATGCGTAACCAATCCAAATGCGTTATTTATTAAAAGTTCAAGGTTGTTGCATCAGAAATGAGGTGACCTTATAGTTAGGTAAGAAAAACACAATTTTGACCATTCAACGCCGATTGAAGTGTTTGGTAATTTTCGGAAGTGAAAGGAAGCTATATTTATCTAAATTCTGAGAAGTAAAGTTTCCCATTGATACCAAATATGTGGTCGGGCGATTCTACGTACATGAATCAAATCGATAAAAATTAAAAACATTTTAAAAATGACTTTTTACCCATTTACAGGCTAACAAAATAATATTTTAGAAAATGTACTAATATCTTTTAGTAATTAATTTAAATTATTATTTTTTTTTTAATTTTTAAAAAGGTTTTGAAACCAAATATATCGAAACTCAGAAATACCGGTACTCAAAAATTAATATTTTCGCTTTTGGTCACTAGCACCGCCCCCTAACATTTGAGCACGAGTGTCATACAGCACAAGATCTTTTACAAGTTGTCTGTGATTTCACGTTTATCTGACACCTTTACCTTTGAGCTGAGTTCTTTGAGGAAGTTAATCTTACAATGCAGTATCTGCAGACTAAAAGCTTTACCCTTGACAAAGTGGTGACCAACATAGAGGCCTGAAGACTGTTTCTTCCCGAGAAGCGCTCTCACTTGGTGGAATTTGCTATTGAAAAGTCACTTTAAAAATAAGACCAAAATGGAATTTGAGTAGAGAGAAGATTAAGGTTTAAGAAGAGAATGACAGGATAACAAATAATAGATGCTGGACTCATTCTGCAAGAAGAACAGTAGGGATCTCAAGGAGTGTATTATTCGCTTTCATTCTGAACTCCAGACCAGATCATCAGCGATCAAGGAAGTAGCAGCTTTGCAACCCAATAGTCTACTATCAGCAGGTGAAAAAGAGTTTTTTCTGTCATTTCCAAAATTAACCTCTTTCTATGATGAGAAATCAGAAGATGAAATTTTAAAGAAATATCAAGGCTTAGAAGACACCAAAGGGCAGCTGATATTGAATTTCAAAAAGTCATGGAGTGGTCAGTATCTGATGTTTTGAAATTCATGGCTGAATGGGACTTCCTAGGATCTCTTCCAATACTCTTGCTAAGCCTTCAATTGTTTCTTACGATCTGTGTGTATGTGGCTTCATGTGAGCGGGGATTTTTAAAACTAAGACTTATCAAGAACTACTTACGATCCACGGGACACGGTCAAGACTTTCTGATCTGGCTGGCTCTACTATCAATTGAAAGTAATGTGGTGAAGGGAAATTTTTAATTAAGTAAATTTAATGTAAAAATAACTAAATCTTAATGTTTTTACAGTTATTAAATACATTTACCTTTAATTAATTTGTTTTTGTGCTTGTAATTTTATAGTGTGGAATTATTTTAATAAGACGAAATCCATCGTAGAAGTCGGGGGGGGGGGGGGGTGACACCATAAGTTTACCCCACCTGGTGACACCAACTGGATACAGACCTTCATAAACACTTGCCTTAGAAAGATCCTGAACATCCAATTACCAAACACCATCACCAACAAAGGCTTACTGGAAATGACACGATACCAGGAGCCTTTTGCTGAAGACATCATAAGGCATCATAAGGCAAAGATGGAGGTGGCAACACTCTTCGCAAACCCCAATATAACTTCACCAGGCAATCCCAAACTGTGAATCCACAGGGAAAAAGAAAGAGAGGATGGCTTAAGACTGCATGGAGACGCGAGCTAGAAGCAGACACACAAAGTATTGGGTACACCTGGAAGCAACTAGAAAAGAAAACACAGAACCGAGATAATTGAAAATTATTGTAGACCGCCTCTGCCCCAGCTTGGGTAAAAGGCTTGAGTAAGTAAGTATAAACATATGCTATAAAAAGGGATCTTGCAAAAATATATAAGATGACCGTTATAGCATTTTGAAATCCCAAATAAAAATCTAATCTGAATATTGATAAATTTATACTTTATATTTATACGATTTACCTCAGATAAAGTCACACATGATGTCTCTTGTGAAAATCTCATGTCTTCTCAACATAATGATATCATTATTATATCTCTTGCACTAACAAAGTGTGCTAACATTCTGACCAGCCGTCTGCAGTGCACAGACAGACGCACATTAAGTAACTCCTATATTGCTAAAAGTCTACTAAACATACGTCACTCTTTACACTCATTAAATTGTTTAAAATGAGGTGACCAGTCAATTTTTAAGATTAAAATTTTAATGGAAAAAACAAGATTGCTGACGTCAACTAATCTAAAACCCACTCCCTCTCCCTTGTCAACAACTGTCAAACATTTCCACCCCCCCCCCAACCCCTATTTTGTTGCCGTAATTAATGGACGCCCCCTAAGTAAGAGACTCGTTTTTAATAGCGTATAAACTAATTTTAATCTTTTAATCTCCAGCCTATATCTCTTACAGTTACTTTCGTCTTTCAATCGTCTCTCTTACAGTTAGTTTCATCTTTCAGTCATCTCTCTTACAGTTACTTTCATCTTTCAGTCGTCTCTCTTACAGTTACTTTCATCTTTCAGTCATCTATCTTACAGCTTCTTTCATACACACCAAGTCGACACCAGGGCTGTAAGCCGGGATTAAGTGGGGTGGGGGTGTTGGGGTTGGGGTACAACTTTTGGCTAAAACATTTCTCGGGCATGTTAATGTTTACGTTTTCAGTAAACACAATACAACGACACTAGCCGGGGGGGGGGGGGGGTTCATGGTAGGACACGTTTCCCTTGTTTGAAATAAATGTAGCGTCTATTTTGTGAATCATTATTGCACGGGGAGAGGGGTGGAGGGGGCACTTATTTTCTTTCTAATTCAATGCTTAATATGAATTATTTTTTATGTGCATTCGGTTTGCATTGTATTTTTCGCCAATTTAAGGTTAGCAAAGTCAATAACCGCCCGGTTCTTATAAACTCTAGCTACCCCACTGATCATATGCTGTGCTAGCTACCCCACTGATCATATGCTGTGCCGCCTACCCCACTGATCATATGCTGTGCTAGCTGCCCCACTGATCATATGCTGTGCTAGCTGCCCCACTGATCATATGCTGTGCCAGCTACCCCACTGATCATATGTTGAGCTAGCTACCCCACTGATCATATGTTGAGCTAGCTGCCCCACTGATCATATGCTTTGCTAGCTACCCCACTGATCATATGTTGAGCTAGCTACCCCACTGATCATATGCTGTCATAGCTACCCCACTGATCATATGCTATGCTAGCTGCCCCACTGATCATATGCTGTGCTAGCTACCCCATTGATCATATGCTGTGCTAGCTACCCCACTGATCATATGCTGTGCTAGCTACCCCACTAATCATATGCAGTGCTAGCCACCCCACTGATCATATGCTGTGCCAGCTACCCCACTGATCACATGCTATGCTACCTATCCCACTCATCTATACGACACGATCGATGGGGTGATTAGTATAGTTGAGCTAGCTACCCCACTGATCATATGCTGTGCTAGCTACCCCACTGATCATATGCTGTGCTAGCTACCCCACTGATCATATGCTGAGCTAGCTACCCCACTGATCATATGCTGAGCTAGCTACCCCACTGATCATATGTTGAGCAAGCTGCCCCACTGATCATATGCTGTGCTAGCTACCCCACTGATCATAAGCTATTCTCACAAAAAGCAAAATTCCTCACGCCACAAAAGTAAATGATAAATGTGTACCAAAACTAGTAACTTCGTCTTTCGTCCAATAAAAAACCGGACAGCCATGTAAACATCGCCAGTGTTGTTTGTTGCGTTTCTTTGCTTTTTTTCTGAAATAGTTTTTCAAATAAATCTGCGGTGTAGAGCGGGTGTGTCAGGGGTGTGACAAAATTGTGTGGTTGCGAGCCTTGGGGTGGTGGGGTGGGGGAAGGGGAAGGGAACTAATAGGGATTCTTATAAATGCGTTACTTGTATGCACGTTTTGTCAACTTTTCACCACCACCCACCCCCTCTCAATTGCTCGATATTGCTATTTATAAAGGATTTATATGAAAAACTCTGTATTTAGAGGTTGTTTAATACGTCACCTAACCAAAGACATATTTGCTTTAAAATAGCCGCGGCGCGTTGAATGACGAATGGATCCTTCCTCTTTCAATTGCTTATACAGTTAAATTCATCAGTCCATCGGCTCATTGTTAAATTATTTCCTTTTTTTAAA